CCTCAGTTTCCCTGTGTGGTAAATGGGGCTAATAATAATAATAATAATAACATCTTTTCCAGGGACTGCGGGGAGAATCAAACATGTGGAAAGCGCTTAGCAGAGTGCTTGGCACTAAATAAATGGAATAGCCAATACTGCCAGGTGTTAGTGTTATTATTCTTGGTCTTGTTGTTGTTATTAGGGAGGCCATATGGTACAGTGGTCAAGAATGTGGAAGAGGGGGCATTGAGGCTGGGGCTTTGAGGGATGAGTACGAGTTTGCCCAACCACCTGAATTCAAAATCCAGCTTGGCCATTTACGCTCTGTTGGACACTGAGGAAGTCACTTCAGTCTTTTGGACCTCAGTTTTTCTGTCTACAAAATGGTGATAAAATGGTCCACACCTTTCTATGAGGCACTACATGTAAAGTGCTCAGAACAGCACCAATGGTGTTGTTTGCTAGTGTTAGTATTAGCTAATTTTTTTTACTACTATTATTAACACAAAGCAGCCAACACAGTCTTCCCCAGAAATCACCCTCTCTGTATGTCCACCCCTCAGCCTCACTTTGGCAAAGATAGACCCAGATCCCCTTAAGACAAGCTCAGGACCCGTGACTCTGATTCTCAGAGTAGCGGGAGCCAGAGATGGTTCTAGCGATTGGGCAGCAGGCAGCTCCGGGGCTGGGGGGAAAAAAGGAGATGCTGGGCTCCCACCTCTGGGCAGGCCTGGAAGGTTCTGCTGGGGGTGTCTGTGCCTGCACCCTCCCATGAGGCCGCCCCACAGGCTGGCCCCCGGCCCCCACAGATGTGACATCGGAACCAGCTGTGCTAGCCAGATGTTCCTGGTTTACCCCCAGATGTGCATCGCCGGCTTGCGCCTGCCCCGGCCTCCCGGTTCCCACCATGGGGTGGGGCTGGGCCCTGGGCCCTCCAAGGGAGGGGGCACATTTCTGTGGGCTGTGGAATTTGTTTCTTGTTTTGCAGAACCATTGAATCTTGTCTTGAGAGAGGCGCAAGTCCCGCACCTCATGGGGCCTCAGTTTCCCCATCAATGGAACCCTAGGGAACCCCCAGGGGCCACCTGGGGGAAAGGAGATGAACAGGGCTGCCCTGGGAATGGGCGCAGCTGCCAGCCCCAGACCTGTAACACTGATGGAGGAAACGGAATTAAGGGCGTGCAAGTACGTGTCTGATGCTCGGGGCCCAGCTGCTGCAGGACATCGGCCAGGCCTGCAGGACTTCACTGAATGAAACGGCCCTCCAGATGAGCAAGGTGTCCTGTGCAGCCCCTTGTACAGATGGGGAACTGAGGCTCCAAGAGGGGGAGGAGCTTGCTCCCACGTTATCCAGCCAGGAAGAGGCAGATCGGGGTGCGAATTCAGCTGTCTGCACCCCAGGTGCCACAGCATTCAGAAGTATCCTTCCTCAGGGCTGGCCCACATGTGCAGGCCGCCCCCACAGCTGCCCATGTGGCTTCCCAGCCTGGCTTGCTCTGCCTGTGGGCAGTGATGACAGCCCCACAAGCCACCCGGTCATTCTCACAGTTCCGGGCAGCCCGCCTAGGGCCCTTTCTGAAGTTGGGGAAACAGAGGTATGGGAGGACCAGAGACATGTCTGGGAGTGAAGTGCAGAGGAAGAACGGTGCTCGTGGAGGGAGGCACCACAGCTCCACCTGGCAACGGTGGATGGAATTACCAAAGCACGCCCTTGCCTTCAGAGGACCCAGCCCAGGGTGCCCCATCCAGAAGCACCTCCACCATCCAGCAAAGACAGACGTGGACCCAGACACTGTTTTGGCAGAACTGGGCAAGAGGGAGGGAACTGTGGCTGGGAGGGGGCAAGATGGGG